GGTTATTGTTTTTAAATAAAATCTCAATTGTTTGACTTTATCAATAAAGACCCAGGAGCCAAATGCTGGGATGAAAGCCTGCTGTCTCAGAGAGGCAGAGAAAACACCCAGCTGACCTTCCTCCTCAGCTCAGTCCCAGAAGGAATGCCTCCTCCTCCCGTGGCATCTCAAACAAGACGCCTCAAACTGAATGTCCCTCCTTTCTACTCCCTACTATCTGTTCTTCTGACTCCTCCTTATGCTCTTTTTTTTCTTAATAACCCTAAGTTCACTTTCTGTCAAATGGTTGCTTGCGCTGCCTCTTGACCTAGGGTTGACATTATCTAATCCTGTTTACAATATTCAAGTGGAAAACTCTTGGATTAAAGGTGTGTACTAAGGCTGAACCCCACCACAAGCAAAACCGTTTTTCTAGTAGATAACAGAATCTTGCAGTTCTCAGTATGAAATATCCTGCAACAAGTGGTACTAATCTCATCATCCTCTCAGCTCCCATCTGCAGAAAGAAATTCAGACCACCTCAACTGTCAAACTTTTAATCCCCTACTTCTTCATTTCTTTGAATACAAAAAACTCTCTTTCATAAGAAAATGTCATGAGATGCAAGCTCCTTTAGGCTCTGTCACTCCAGAAACTATGGTCCAGGTCCAAAAAGATGTCAGCTAATGATGCAAAGTCCCTCAGATCTCTGCAGCCACAGTTTCACCTCAATACTATGCCACACAACTATAAAATGGATACAAATATTTGTGTGAAAAAGGGCCAAAATTAGAAAGGACAAAAATTGTTTTTAACACAACAATCTCTTTTCCAAAAAAAATATGAATTTCTTACTCTTCTATTGATTTAAGATTTTGTACCATGTAAAAATACAGTCCTAAAAATAACAAAGAAACTTGTAAATCTGATCATACATGACAGTCCCAAACTTTGTAACTTTACAGTGCAGAGGCTAAATGAAGAGGTGGAGAACACTATTGAATGGGTATCTAGGTTTAGACTAGAGTGATGAAATGTGCCAGAAATGAACAGTTCTAGTGTTTTTTAACAATGAGTTTATCTAGTGCTAACAAACTATATACTTAAATGGTTAAATAGATTTCCTTATGTATTTGTGCTGCAATAAAAAAAAAAACAAACCACAATAGCAATAACTAACGCCTGCAAAAGACCCCGAAAAGGGAAGACACCTACAATGACTTCCTATTACCATTCTGATGAACAAGACTGTAATTTGACTCCTACCTAACTCTATCTTTATCTAACTCCTGTTTTTGTCTAGAGACCTCAGTTTAGTGCTAGAATATTCAGCTGAATATTTAGTTCCTTAAGGGCACAGTGGTCTCTCTTGTTCTGGTTGTAGCATATAGAATTTCCATGTCCTGAAGAGGAAAGAAATGTATGTATTAACAGGATGATTCAGAGCTGACTTGACTGGTTCACTCTGACATACTCAGCCACTGCACCCTTTTCTTCCTTCCCCCACCTTCCCATGACATTCATCAAAACCATAATTACCTGGTTAGTGCTAGATTTGACAGTTCAGTGACAGCTTGAATAATTTTGATCCCTAAAGCAAATATGATGGCTAACACATGGCCTGGCAAACACCAGGTAAGCTAAAAAGTTTTGTTATTTTATTTTATTTTATTTTGTTTTGTTTTGTTTTATTTTGCTTTGTTTTGTTTTATTTTATTTTATTTTATTTTATTTATATATACATGAGTTTTCCCAGAAAGTATGTCTGGGCAACACAAGTGCACCTAGTGTCAGCATAGTCCAGAGGAGGACGTTGAATCCTCTGCATCTGAAGATATAGGTGGTCATTAAATGACATGTGGGTGCTGGGAATTGAACCCTGGTCCTCTGGGAGAGCAGCCAAGGCTTTTAATCTCTAAGACATCTCTCCAGCCCCCTAAAAAATAGTTTTTTGAATGAACGGGTTGATTAAAAATCAAGCTAGAGGCAGTAGGTGAGATGGAATGACCTCATACACCAACTCAGTAAAGGATGATTCAAAATCATAAGTCTGTTGGAGCTGAACTACCGATACTATGTTCTCGTATGTCTTCAGCACAAAGCTGACTTTCCAAACACAACCGCAGAATTTATCCTACATCTTATTTAGCTATTCCTCAAACCTACCTTGAGTATTCAGTATACTAACTATTCATTTCAGATCTGAGTCATTTGCCCATGGAATAGACAATCTTGTATTTAAATAGCCAGAGGAAGAATACTAAATGACAGCACAGAGCTGGAGAATTTATAAGGTAAACATGACCCTGCTCATGTGAAAATGGACATAACACTTTGAGTCTATATTATCAATCTGCATTTCACCTCCCTAAGAAAATTTAGACAGCAAACTCTCCTAAGTGGTAAAACTGGCATAGAATTTGATGTGTTCCTACACTGAGGGCTGAATCCAGGACCATGTGTTTAGAAGCAAACACAGTTCCCTCCACATTTTCCTGGGATACTTTAAGTTTAAAGCACAACAGAAGAGGGGAGAGATATGTCTTCCCAAAGCATATCTTTGTTTTTACTTTGAGACTGTGTCTCACTAATGTAGCCCTGGTAAGCCTAGAATTCACTATGGAGACCAGAATAGCCTTTAATTAAAAAATCCACCTGCTTCTGCCTTCCAAGCGCTGGCCTATGCTACAACAACTGGCTCCAGAGCACACACACTCAGGCTGGCTCCCAGCAAACGTGCTGGGCTGGGTTAGCTGCGTGTCTTCTGTTTATGAGCACAGCAGTATTTATTAAAGTTGGCACTCTGAATTCTCTCATGTTGCCAAGAGAAACACAAAACAAAATAGCAAGATACAGGGAAAGCAATGTAACCACCAGAGGTGCACAGGGGGATTAAGTGGGCTCTAAACTTCTCCTTGCTTGAACAGTATTGAACAATTTATTCATTGTGCTTCATTGTCCAAATCCTATTTGTATTTACAGCTGCCTCTAAATAAGATTCAGCAGAATGACTAATATATGGCAATTTGAGTAAGGGGCTCATGGTTGAGAAATCTCTTTTCTCTGTGTCTCTCAAGTTAAATGGGGTATGTGATATTTGGTTACTTATACCCTAGGTTCTTTGTTCAGATAACATTTGCATTAACAGGTTTCTTCAGGCTGTTACTCAGAAATTTGATAAGCTTTTTAAGGACAAAGTAACATTCTTGTTCGAGCACTTCACTTTATTTTGAACGCAGCATGACATTTTAAATATAAAATATGGGTCTAGAATAAAATAACGATCCATAATTTGCATTCTGTAAAATTATAGTGTGAAAATGACACCTTTCCAGAATAAAAACACTGTGGAAGGAAATATGATTCCCACAGACTAACTTAAAATGCCAGGAAATGCCTTGATCTGAATCGAAGCTTATGGAACCACAGTGCTTTTAAGGTAAAGATATAAAGGATTAAAAGCCTTCTGAAATGGATGTAGCAGAGAACATCTTCAAAAGGAGAGACATGTCTCAGCCCGTATGAACACATATGGCCCCTGCAGAGGACCTGAGTTCAGTTCCCAGCACCCATGTTGCATGCCTAAAACCTCAGCTCCAGGAGATCTGACCCCGTATTCTCACCTCCATGGCTGCCTGTACTCACAGGTACATATACCCATTCACACACACACACACACACACACACACACATGAAATCAGAAATGAAAAGAAGAAAATGCCCCCGACAAGCACAAAGCTGATCTGGAAATGACTTTATCTAGCAAGCAGAAATCAGGAGATAACCTCCATCATCACACATTTCAAAGACAAAATATTTCTCTATGAAATACTGTTTGCACTAATGCATGAGGTTCACGCTTCTGTTATCACATGACAGACACACACCAAGAGACAGACAGTAGGACAGTCATGCAGATTAAACATTTAGCCTGTTCTAGTTGTCCAATACTGAATCTAAAAATATATATATTATGCAAACAAAACTGGGCATCTCCAGTGCAAGAGTCACCATTAAGGTTTTTTATTATTGTTGTTGTTTTGTTTTATTAATATATAGCTAGATTCATACCAAGCAGACCTTTCATGGGAACATTGCAAATAATAGGAAGGATAACATCGGAATCATAACTCTGTCTATAAGGAACTGAATTCTGAATCAAGATGGTTTTCTAACACAAAAACATTACAACACATAGTAAAAAACAGACTCCAGGCAGGCTCCTGCACTGGGTGGTACCAGGCTCCATACACCTCTACACTTCCTGTGGTTTGAATGAGAATGCCCCCCACAGGCTCATACACTTCAATGTCTGCTTCCCAGCTGATGACTGTCTAAGAAGGACTGGGAGGTGTGGCCTTGTTGGAGCAGGTGTGTCACTAGAGGTGGATGTTCAGATTTTAAAAGCTCACACGAGGCTGTCCTGCTCCCTACCTCCAACTTGTGGAGCAGGTGTAGATGTGAGCTTTTGGCCCCTGCTGCAGCTCCATACCTGCTTGCCTGCCTACCACCTTGCTTCCACCATGCCAGTCATGGACTCATCCTCTGAAACTGTAAGCAAGCCCCGAATTAAATGCTTTCTTTCAGAAGTTGCCTTGGTAATAGTGTCTCTTCACAGCAACAGAATAGTAACTAAGACATCATGTAAACCCAAACCTGCCTCATCTAAACCTGACACCCCACACAGGCAAATAGAAAGTAGGGCAACACACTTCCATATACTCATGTGAAGAACAGGTGTATTTGCTCTCCTCCTTGACAAGGAATCATTATGTAGGCGAGCCTAGCCCCCAGCAATTCTACTGCTTTACTTCCCAAGTGCTAGCACTAAAGCCTTGTGCCTCCACACCTAGCAATTTCTTTTACATTATATGCAGGTCACCCATACAAGCTTTTACTTAAAGAAATTATTCCACAGCTACAAGTCTGAAAACCACTGGAATAAGAAATGGCTAACAGTGTTTAAAGTTTAGAGTTTTAAATATGTCCACATAAAGGCTTAGGGAGAATAGCTATCCTACCTGATCTGTGCATTGCAGTATCTTTTAGCATACTCCATCCACGTTCCAAATTTTTGTGGGAAAAGAGCCTCAATCTGCATGAAAAGCTGTAACAATAAAAATGTTCTTAATATATTGCAATATTTTAAGTAAGTTATTATGATGATAAAAGAAATTAATACAAAAAGCAAGAGGTATAAAAGCAAAAATACTTCTCCCTTATGGCCTTTTCTTCCTCTTTTCCCCACCCTATCCATTCTTCAGGGATAAGTTATCTGTTTCTAAATATAACATACACACACAGAGAGAGAGCGAGAGACAGAGAGAGACAGAGAGAGAGACAGAGACAGAGACTTTTTAAAAAGATTTCTCAGCCGGGAATGGTCGCACATGCCTGTAACCCAAAACTTTAGGAGGAAGAGGTAGGCGGATATCTGTGAGTTCAAGACTGGCCTGGTCTACAAAGCAAGTCCAGGACAGCCAGGGCTACACAGAAAAACCCTGTCTTGAAAAACCAAAACACCTCCCCCCAAAAAAATTCTTTCCAGCCCCTATATACACATCCAGTCACATATATACAATCATAACATTATGGTACAACTAAAATATTACTGCAAAAATAGTCATAGGCAACAGTTTTTTAATTTTTAATTTGTACGATGATAATAATAAACTTTTATTTATTTTTATAAAGAACCTTTAAAAGGCTGAATAACCATCTATTATTATGCATATGTGATAAAGTATTAAAAAATACCTGATAGTGAATGAATAATCTCTTTTATGCAGCTATAAAAATTAGTAATTTCATATAATCATATTTGTGTATTATGCTACTCATAAGAATCAATGATCTATTTATGTATCTATCCATCCATTCAGATATATTTGCTTATTTGAAATAGGGTATTTATGTAGCCATTATGTAGCCAGGCTAGCCTCAAACTTCAATTCTCCTGCCTTGCCTTCCTGAATGCTGGGATTAAAGGTGTATGCTACCAGACCCCAACCTTCCAGTTGCACTTTTACTGAGATGGAACGGTTGGTGTCAGGGCTCAAGCCCAGGGCCTCAGGCATGGCAGGCAACTGCCATAGCACCTAAGCCCAACGAGTATGCTTTTTCTCTTCTGTTGGCATCTATATCTCTGTGCTGTGCGTGTTCATGTGGAGGCTGGAGGCTACACCAGTGTCTTCTTTAACCGTCCTGCACCTTATAACTGGAGGCAGAGCCTCTCAGGGAACTTGCATTTCTGCTGGTCTGGCTAGCCAGCCTGATGGGGGATTCTTTGCCTCCCGCTCCCACACCTGCCTGGCTTTCATGTGGGGTCCTAGGGATTGAACTCTGAGCCTCACATCTGCACATTAAGTATTGTACCCGCTGAGCTATCTTCCCAGCCTAGAAATATCCTTTAAAGATTATTGGGCCAATAGTATCATTATGGCTTTTTTTTTTCATTTCATAACTTTGATGGGCTGCATACAAGAACACTTTACTGTTATTTCTAATAGGCTCTTTGATGTAATGGCTTTATTGATACGATAAAGTTCACTCTTCAGGTACGAAATTCAATGGCTTTTAGCCACAAAGTTATATATCACTCACTACTATTATACAATATTGTTAACATCAGGAAAAGAAACCAACTTCCACTGGGAGTCAAAGCCCTCTTCCTTCCCCTCCAATCCTGGCAAGCACTAAGCTTTCTACTCTCTACTTTCTTAAGTTTTCCTGGTATTTCATATGAAAGGAATCATTCCAAAGAACATTATTTTGCTGCATGCATCTGTGTTAACAAGAAAAAAAATCTCCAATAAACAACCTGACTTCCCAGCTAGAAAGGGAAGAACAAGTAAAAAGAAAAGGCAAGCAATGAAGAAAACAACAACAACAAAAACCACTATAAGTATTCTGATGAAAATAAAGTAGAAAATAGAGAGAAAATTGGCAAACCCAATTTGGTTCTTAGAACAATCAATAACACTGACTAAACTTTAGTTAGTTAACCAATGAAACAAAAGCTTACTAAAATTAGGAAAACATAAGGCTGTATCACCACCATTCATAGAGATACAAAGTATTAGAGAAAGATACTATAAACAATTGTTGGCCAGTAAATTAGATTCCTTAGATAAAATGATCAGGAAGAACTGAAAGTGATGGAAAAAGACACTCTGAGCATGTCTATGTTCCTAGATTAAGTTCCTCTAGTCTAACTAGATGCCTCGTCTGGTCTACAATGGGCCCTATTTGTCTCTACTTTCCGAAGTGGAGCTAACTGAAGTGAAAGGAGCTACAGAGAAGTTCTGCAATGCAATGCAGTATAAACAGATCTCTGGACTCCCTGGCCAAGTAGCCAAGTGAAATTAGGAAGCTCAAGGTTCAGAGAGATTCCACCTCAAAAAACAAGCAGTAGAGAAAGATGCCAGGTATTACAAAACTCTGGCCTTCACGAGCATAGGACTCCCTCTCTCTCTCTCTCAAACACACAGCAGATTAAATTTCAATACGTACTAAATAAATAGACTTTATACTAACTGGGTGTAGTGGTGCACACCTTTAATCCTACCACTCTGCAGGCAGAAGCAGGCAGATTACTGTGAGGTTGAGGCTAGCATGGTCTACTACATAACAATTTCAAGCCAGCCAGAGCTACACAATAAAAACCTTGGGTTAAAACAACTAAACAAACAAACAAGCAAAAAAGATACAAGCAAATGAAAGAAAAGAAAGAAAAGTAAACCTTATAATAATGGTAAAACTATTGTATATATACAATAAGTATATATACAGTATATATAAGTATATATACAGTATATATAAGTATATATACAGTAAGTATGGCTAAGACTTAAAAATAAAAAAAGATTTAAAAAACCCAGCCATAATAAAAATAGTGTTTAATTATTAATCGTGCCATGGAAGTTTCCAAGGTACTCTTTTGGCATCTGAGGCATCTGACTTGAAACTAAAATTGCCAAGCAGAAGACAGATTCAATTTCCCTATTACTCAAAGCACAGTGGTCCTAGTACCTCCTCTGGCCTTCCCAGAGCCGGCGTTCCTGTGAGAAGAATGGCCCGCCTGGCCTTCTGCACCACAGGCAGGAGAATCTTGCTGCGGGCAGCAGTTCTAGACTTCATGTAGTGGGACTCGTCCACTATGACGACTCTGAAGTTCTGGCTGTTGAGTGCATCCACCAAAGTCTGAGCATCCGTGGTTAAGAGACCATAGCCTAGGACTGTCACTCTGCTGGTTGGGATTCTCCTAGAAATGACATGCATCACTTAAGAAATGTCTCTATCACAAACAAAACAACACTCTTGAAAATAAAAACACTAGAGAAAAATTAAAAAATGGTCTTATTGCTAAATCTCAGCTATTCACACAGTTTTGATTTTACAATTCTCACATGTATTAGGCCAAGACTTAGAATTCTGGTCAAATGGTTGCATTCTGGAAGACTTTGATAACTAGAAAGCCACATTTTACTAGTTACTTATGATAGTGCTTTTTTGAATATGCTCATTTTCAGCCTGGGTGCTGTGGGCACTGTCAGGACAGCACTGACAGAGCTGTCCATGCACGTTACCCTGGTCTTTCTTGTCTCATGCACTGCAGCCCTCAAGCACTGTGGTGCCTGGTGATGGAATGGGTCAGAAGAAGGACCTTCCCCTTACAGAGAGTCACTGAGCAAGAATAAAGTGATTCCTTGAGACTTTGCTCCCTATGATACACGTCTGCAAATGTCTTTATTATGAATTACTCCTACAGACATTTTCTTACTTTGTATGAGGCTGGTGAGGTATGTATTTCTTACTGGTATGAGGTGTGTCACAAAGCATTTTGTTCCCAGCACAGAATGAAGTAATGAGATAAGCTCTTGAACACTAACATGTCCTACTTTTGCATTCTCACTTATCACCAGTGGAACAGCACAGGACAGATGTCACCCATCACCTCCGTCTTCTTTGCGTGTGTGCTTGTAAGCATGTAGGCACTGGGATGTGTGAAGGCATCTGTTCATATGCATATGGATGCCAGAGCTTGAAATGAAGTACCCTCCTCTATCACTCTCCACATATTTACTATGGCAAAGTCTCTTGCTGAACCCAGAGCTTCCAATTTGGCTAGTCTAGCTAGCCAGGTTGCCCCAGGGCCCTTGTCTCTTCTCCACCAGTCAAGGACTGGGGTTTCTGGCAGGCTGACACGCTAGTGAGCTTTTCTGTTGTATTCCTTTTCATCACCTCTCTAGTGCAGAAAGTAGAGGTGGGCCTACATATGCCCCACCTGTTACACTGGAGCTGGGTTTAGAAGAGCTTTATCCTCACAGCCATCCCCCACTCCCTAGCTCCATTTTCTACCCTCCAGCGAAGAAGTGAGAGCTTCTAACTCGTGAGTAGCACTTGAAGGCCTGGATACATCTAATTAACACAGAGAACTATGGTTTCTTCCATGTGCTCAGCTAACAGATGAGCCTGCAGAAGGAAAGCCGGAGCTCAGTACCATGAGTTAACTAGATATTAACTAGATATTCATGAGAAATATCTACAGATAACGATGCTGAGGGTCGCCATAGTCATCTTAGTAGCTTCTTTTTTTTAATTTATTTATTTTATATGTATTGGTGTTTTGCCTGCATGTACATCTGTGTGAGGTTGTCAGATCTTGAAGTTACAGACAGCTGTGAGCTGCCATGTTGGTGCTGGGAATTGAAGCTGGGTCCTCCAGAAGAGCAGTCAGTGCTCTTAAGCGATGAGCCATCTTTCCAGCCCAGTGGCTCCTGTTCTGTTACTGGGCGACAGTTCAAGACCAGCAGGCGCCAGGGGTAATCTATGTAGTAAACACACACTGACACAGGTCAGTACACACCAAAAACTGCTTCTTTAAGGCTTCCAAAGACATCAAGTAACTTACGCCTTTGGTTAGCATCTTCCAAAACTGTACACTCCTAGGTTGTGGACCTATCTAACATACCCAAATATTATACAAACAAAAGCTACAGCCACTATTTAATCACAAGAGTGTGTACTTCCTAAATACTAATGAAAAGCAGATGATCTATTGCTAAAAAGATGGCAGGATAGATTATAAGAAAATGTAACTATAGTGTTTGCTTTTTTTTTTTTTTTTTTCCTGAGACAGGGTTTCTCTGTGTAGCCTTGGCTCTCTTGGAACTTGCTCTGTAGACCAGCCTGGCCTCAAACTCACAGAGATCTGCCTGCCTCTGCCTCCCGAGTGCTTGGATAAAAGGTATTTGCCACCATCACCAGGCTGTAAATGTAGATATTTAAATAAGGTATAGCTAGCATAAAAGTTAAAAGAGCCTTAAAAAGTCAACATTCTCCAAATTTATCTTTTCAATTTTATGCAGTTTTTTTGAGAAGTAACCTATTCATAAAAACTGTCTACATTTTATTATAATAATGCAAACAGGGCCTACATTTTCTTGGATTCATAAATCTGAAGGCTAATGAGTTAGGGCTCCAAGGTTAAAAGAGGTAAAACATCCTATATCAGTGCTGTCTGTTTCCTTCTTCTTCATGAAAGCCGGTGTTATCTCTACAAACACTTTATATTCATAGGTTTTGATAATATAGTTCATGAACGCTCTAAGAACTAACAGATGCTTCTTTCTGGTAGATATGTTACTTTTAAAGCCCAGAAAGTGATTAGTCTGTGTCATGTCCCCAACCCCATTCCCCAGAAAGGATTTTCTCTGTGTAGCTCTGGCTGTCCTGGAACTGGCTCTGTAGATCAAGCTAGCCTCAAACTCAAAGATCTGCCTGCCTTTCCCTTCTGAGTGCTGGGATTAAAGGCATGAGCCACCATGCCCGGGTCCTTTCCTTCTGATGAGACAGGGTCTAACTAGGTAGCCCTTGCTGGACTGGAACTCACTACATAGACCAGGCTGGCATTGAACTCACAGAATGCCTGCCTCTGCATCCTGAGTACTGTGTTTACAGGTGTGTACCTTTGGAAACAAGATAATTTGCCTCATTCAACTATATATTCCATACAATAACATATTCAAATAGGTTGATTTAGTCCAGTGACTACAAAGCAAAATGAAACAAATGGAAAAAAAAAAAAGGAAATATATTTCAGAGCAAGGACTATAAATAACTATCAAACAAAGCAAATATTTTCAAGATTTAAAACATCAAATGTACATTAGCCCAATAAAATCAAACCTGTTAAAACTGATATTGATATTACCAACCTGAACAGCAGACCAAGTCAGGACTGTTGATAAAAGTTGACACGACAGCTGGGCATGGCGGAGCACTCCTGTAATCACAGCACTGGGGGAGGCAGAGGCAGGCGGATTGTGTGTTCTAGACGAGCTTGGTCTAAAAAGCCAGTCCAATATAGCTACGGCTACACAGAGAAACCAAACCTTGTCTCAAAACAAACAAAGAAAGAAACAAAAAACCCAACAATAACAACAACAAAGCTCACACACCTTCAGTCTTGAAAACATAATGGAATTTATTTTTGAATTGTAAACTAACTAATTTTACGTATATTTAAGGCAAATAGAAATAATTATCCATGCCTTTAAAAGTAGGCACAGTTTACATTAACTCTAAAAGTACACCACAGGTAATAGAGATTAAACATAGCACTGGGCTTTAGGTAAATAATTCATAGTTTAAAATGTAAGGCAAACTCAATCACCATCTTCTAATGATGGCGATCGACACTTCATTCAAAACAGGAATATCATGCATCAGGCACTGAGTTTGAACATTCGTACCAAAAAACCAAATGCAAACCAAAACATAAGTGTGGACTAAATGCAAAGAACACATCTTTTTTTCTTCAAAGCAAATAAGTTCTTCTTACCCAATGTCCGCTTTATTCATGATAACATTGATCTCCTCTGGCTCTAGCTCTGGGATCCATTTTTCTAGCTCTTCTACCCACGGGTACCTCAGAGACGAAGGGACGACTATTAGCAGCGGCCATTCCTCTTTGTAGAAGTAAGCAACTGCAATTGCTTGGATTGTCTTTCCTAGACCCATCTAAAGAAAAGTTGTAAGAAGTTGTTATACATCCTGAAAGAAATGATCCAATATTAGACAGTCTTACACCAATAATTTTATTATATCAACTGAATACAGTTAATACAAAGTTCAATATTATTAGGGACTTTCAGAGTCATTAAAGAAATTATACGATTTAAAAAATTGTTTTGTGGTTATAATTAAAGGCAGATGATCCCTAGATATGAATATTATAGTTTTCCCTACCCAGCAGGAAAGCATGTCATTTAAAGTTAAAATATGAGTCATACATGTTTTCTGAAGAAAAAGTAAGACAAAGGTTGGGTTATTTAAGCCACAGCTAACAGATGCAGACTCTGGATGAGAGTCCAGGTCTGTGTGGTCCTTTTTTCTTTGACCATTCTATGCTATTCCCACTAGCCCTTTCAAGGCCATTTCCAAAAAAAAAAAAAAAAAAACAAAAACAAAAACAAAAACAAAAACAAAAACAAAAAAAGAAGCTCCTAAATCAAATGTTATAAAGGTTTTCTTCCCAGTAGTGAGAAACTGAAGACAATTCACCTGTGCTTTACCGGGAGCATTCTACTCAAGTGTCCACAGATGAAAAGAGAGAACTGTGCCCATGGGGGTGGCGCAGCACAGAGACTGCTCAGCAGGTGGTGGGTACTGGCTCAGCCACCAGCAACTCATGCCCTGAGTGTATAACTAGGAGCAAATTGCTGCTTTCTATGATTCGCTGTGGGAAAGGCAAACAGTAAGGTTAGAGAGCAGGTCTGGGGAAGCTGGCGGAGGGTCCCTTTCATGATAGAGCTGCTCCACACCACGACTGTCAGAAGTCATGGATTGTGTAGTAAACATAGGTCAAATAGGCTGGAGAGATGGCTCGGTGGGTAACAGCACTTGCCATGTAAGCAAGAGGACCTGAGTTTGAATTCCCAGCACCCATGTAAAAAAATTCAGGCATGTCTGCAAGGGGCTTGTAGCCCATGCTGAGGGGCAGAGATAGATGGGTCCTGGGAGCTAGCTGGGCAGCCTGTCTAACCAATAACGTGGCAAGATTCCAGTTCAGTGAGACCTGCTTTAAAGACAGTGACAGAGGAATTCTGCATTCCTAACTATGCTAGAAGTAAAATTCTAAATTATTTTATTTCTATGTAATCCTAGAGCCCGTAGGCAGGAACTGCTATTTAAGCTTCCATAGAACAAGACAGGAGTCTAACTATATTAAAGGTAATAAATGTTTAACATATATTTCTGTTTCTTCTTCAACTATACCACATGTAATAGTTTTTTAAATGTTTTCTTTATTTTTATTTTATGTATATTGGTGTTCTGCCTGCTTCTATGTGTGTGAGGGTGTCAGGAGTTAGACAGTTGTGAGCTGCCATCACATATAATAATTAAAAATTTAAAAAAGAATACACATAGAACAAAAACAGATTAATTTCCCAAGTTTACTCATCTGGGTAAATTTTACCACAAAGGGTCTTACATTTAAAAAGAAGAAATCACTTTAGTCAACAATTATGAAAAAAAAAAAAAAAAAAAGCTAAAAGACACAGGTTTTGTTTAACAAACTATTCAAAAGGAAAAAAAGAGACATAAACCTAAAAGAATAAGTTTCAAATTCTGAGTGAGATTAAAGAGAAAAAGGCATTTTAAAGAGAAAAAAAGAATTTTAACAAGTCTATTATGGATGGTTTGTTTATGTGTTTTTCCTTTAATTGCTGCTATTAAGAACAAGAATCTTAGTCACCTCACTCAGGATAATCCTTTCCAGCTCCACTCATTTACCTGTGAATTTCACTTCATTCTTTTCAACAGTCAAGTAAAGGTCCATTGTATAACCCAGATACGGAAAGACAAACATCACAGTTTCTCTCCTATGTGCATGCTGAATTTGGATCTTTAGACTTACCCATTTTGTACGGAAAACACAGAGAGGGCAGGAGTCTAGTAAAAGACAATGGAAAGGCGATTTCAAGGAAGAGAAGATAGAATGCAGTGGTGTAAAAGAGAAAAAGGCGAGGACTGTGAGCTGCAACAATGCCTTGCCTTGCCTAGCAAGATATGCCCACCACTGCGATAATGCCACAAACGTTATAGGAGTGACCAAACAAAAGATGGAACTTATAGCTGGTACTATCATGGGGTCCAAGAACCTGTGGCTAGATATAGGTTTTAGACTCTAAGGAAGAGCATATGAATATATTCTTCAAATTGGGCAGAGCATTTAACTGAATCCAAATGACTACACTATATTCATAGATTGCCGCATCTCTCAACCCTTACCAAAGAAGCTTCTCTCTCTCTCCCTCTCTCTCTCAACTGGGACCTAGTGCTCAAAGAGAAGCTGCTTTTTGCATTGCATATCTATAGACAGGGAGATCCACAAGTGGTCAAAGCAGAGGAAAAGAGACTTGGAGGCACTGGCAATGAATGGGACATCTCTATCATACCCTCTCCCAAAGGCTCAGAGAACCTCAAGGGGAGAGGAGAGGTGGGAATAGTCTAAGAGCCAGACATGGTGGGTGGTTACAAGAAAATTTCTGAACACAACAGAGCTGATGCATGTCTAAGCATTCATAAGGCTTGTATAAGCTCAATCAAACCAGCCTCCAGCACTGAAGATCAGGTGGACTCACCCCTAGCTGAGAGGGATTAGCAACTGTTAAGGGGATGCTCCATAGCAGGCCCCACACCCAGAAGTGTTTGGGCAACACAGATTTGACTCAATAAGCCTTAAAGAAAAAGGCAACAAGTTGGGTGTGTAGGGATGGATATGGTAGGACTTGGGGGAGAGGGATGAATATAATCAAAGTATCCTGAATGAAATTCTCAAGGAGGTAATAAAAAATTATATATAAAGAAGAACATGCTCAGTAGGTAGAGTGCTTGTCTAGATGAAGCGCTGGGTTCATTCCACACCACCATATAAACTGGGCATGGTGAAACAAGCCTGTAATGTACATTCATGAGGCAGAGGCTGGAGGATCAGGGTTCAAGGTCATCCTAAGCTACATAGAAAGTTCAAATCTAGCTTGTCCTATAGGTGACCCTGACTCAAAAAACAAAATAAAAACAAACCACCCACCCACCCAAACAAACAAAAAACCCAAGAAAACCAATGGGAATAATTCAATTAATGTTACATTTATAACAACCAGTCTTCAATATTAATGAGAAAATTAGTGTGATCTCTTAAGAAAATGTTTTTTTTTAAAGAACAAGATTAGAGCATATGTGACCTAGGATCTACCCAGTGCCACAGGTGTTATCTGACTGCAAGAGGGAAAGACTGCTTTAAAGAAAGACAAGCAACCTTACATTCCCTGGGGCAGAATGAGGAAGGTGTTTTGTAGTTCTAAGCAGGTGGCACAAGAGCTTTAAGCCCAACAGAGCAGTAATACTACCACCGATCTTCAAGCTGAATGATGTGAAACAGAACTGTCTAAAAGCTTTTAATACTGAGAGTAGATCCAGTTGCAGATCAAGATGTTCTTGACCTAATCTTTTAAAAATAAAACTGAAGTAGCAGGTGTTGTTGTGCAGGATGAAGTGGGAAGGTTCTGGGTTCAAAACCATCCCGGTGTACCTTGCAATTTCAAAGCCTGGGTCACAAAACCAGTCCCATCTCTAGGACAGGACAAATTTGTTCCAGAAAAAAATTTGCTAACAGGAAGATTACTGTGTGTGACTATGTTTCGTTGTTATTGTTAGATACAGGCATTTGCATCATCTACTTTAGACATCAGTATCTTGAAGAGAATTCAAAACAGCAACTACAGCAACAAACACCACATAATTTTGGTATACTCAATAGGCAGCTCAGAGCCCTCGGCTCTAAAGAAAGTCCAGTGTTCTTTCACACTTAGGACTAAATCGCCATTAAGAACCAAAGCTGGCTCAATGATAGTACAGATGTCTACATTAAAAATTAAATAGAATATATAAGCTTTACAGTATATTTTATAAATGTTTTTAAAATAGTAAATCACCCTTTAATTTGGAAAAATAATTTCAGGTTTTCTACTAAAATTAAAAAGAGAGGGCCTCTGAAAGACTCTACCCAGCAGGGTATTGAAGCAGATGCTGAGCTTATAATAGCCAAACTTTGGGCAAAGTGCAGGGAATCTTATGAAAGAAAGGGGAGATAGAAAGACCTGGAGGGACAGGAGCTCCACAAGGAGAGCAGCAGAACCAAAAAAATCTGGGCACAGGGGTCTTTTCTAAGATTGATACTCCAACCAAAGATCATTCATGGAGATAACCTAGAAACCTTGCACAGATGTAGCCTATGGCAGGTCAGTCTTCAAGCGGGTTTCCTAGTAATGGGGACAGGGATTGTCTCTGACATGAACTCATGGGCTGGTTCTTTGATCACCTCCCCCTGAGAGGGGATCAGCCTTACCACGCCACAGAGGAAGACAATGCAGCCAGTCCTGATGAGACCTGATAGGCTAGGGTCAGAGGGAAGGGAAGGAGGACCTCCCCTATCACTGGACTTGGAGAGGGGCATGGGAGGAGAAAAGAGAGGGTGGGATTGGGAGGGGACAAGGGAGGGGGCTACAGCTGGGATATAAAGTGAATAAATTATAATAAATAAAAATAAATTAATTAATTAAATTTAAAAAATTAAAAAGAACTATTCAATTAACAATGATTTCAGTATGGAATTTCAGTTTCAATTTTTTACCCTGTGATTGCTTTTTGTTGTTGTTGTTGTTGTTGGGACAGGATTTCTCTGAGTAGTCCTAGCGGTCCTCGAACTAGCTCTGTAGACCGGGCTGGCCTCGAGCTCACAGAGACCCCCCTGCTTCTGTCTCCTGCGTCTGGGAGTACAAACATGCATCACTACTGTTCAACACACGGTGACTGCTGTCACAGTGCAGTTTTCAGCTACTGAGAACCTTCTGAACTGGAAAAAATGTCAAGTTTTAGAGTTAAAAGCAGCTAGCACCTTTTTAGTGTGGAAATGTGGGAGAGAGGTTATTTTTAAACAGGATGTCTTATTTGTC